CCCGGGATCCATCGCCCAATCGAAGCGTTCGCTTCGGCAGGGCCTGGCCGGCATTCTCCACGGTCTGCTCCCAAATCACGCCATTGGCAGCCAACGCACCCACCAAGCCTTGAAAAATCCAGAGATCGATGAGTGGAGAGAAGTACATAGAGCAAACGTTCCTAGTAGTGCACTTGTTTCTACTAGCTTCTTGTTACTACTAGTAAGGCACTTGTTACTACTAGCGTGGCACTTGTTACTACTAGCTTCTTGTTAGTACATAGAAATATATAGAAATACCAAGCCTTTCAGTGACATGAGATTTCTATCTGGGGAATGCGACTGACTTACCGTCAGGATCTTGCATGTGGAATCTTGAAACCCTAGTTCTTAGCGTCCATGTTCGTATAGATTCTTGAAGATCAAAGCTCCTAGTAGCGTCCTTGTTACTATAGTAGTAAGGCCAGGAGCCCCTAGTAGCGTCCTTGCTCCTAGTAGCGATGCCCTTTGCTCCTAGTAGCGTCCTGGGTGTAATATACGTGGATTACCGGCAGGACCGGCCACCGTAAGGAAACGTCTCAACCCACCAAGGAAAGTTTCTGGAACCGACCAGCTCATCTTCCAATCGAACATGCTGGTGTGAGAAGTCATATCAACGGCAAATTACGGCCTTCAGCTCAAGGTGGCTCGAGTATTACAGGATCTGGTCCTATTGTGCAGCAAGCAAGGGTCTAGCTGCAAATTACAGCCTTCAGCCCAGCTGTGTGTGAACACAAGCCCAAACGAGCCCACAAAAGAGATGACAGCTTGAGGAGAGCATGAGAAAGAGTTGACATTCAAGTCGCAACAGCACACATCACATCTGTAGCTTCCAAACCTTCATAGCCCAAAAATGTTGGTCCAGAGGTCCCCCTACTATAGAAACAATGTTCGCTACTAGTAACAAGTGCATCGCTTCTAGTAACAAGTGCCTTACTAGTAGTAACAAGAAGCTAGTAGAAACAAGAATTAAATAGAAACAATAAGCTAATAGCTTCTTGTTACTACTAGTAAGTAGGCATTTGTTACTAGAAGCGATGCAGTTGTTACGTTGGTCCAGAGGTCCCCCTACTAGTATGGTCCAGCGTTGTTACAAGGATTCCTTCTGGATATTGCTTATTTCGACGAGTGACGCTGGGCCATGTTCAGCTTGTTCTGGCATTTCTCCGCATCTGCCATCAAGGCATTCTTCTCTGCCATGGCCTTGTCAAACTCCTTCATCCTGGCCATGGATTCATGGTGAAAAGAACAACTGCAGCAGCCAGCCAGTGAGGACTTGAGGCACAAACTGGAACCAAGCGAGAAAATAAGAAACCGTAAGGTTAAAAAAAAGAGTGACATTGAGTGACGGTCATTGGTTCTTTTCTTTGTGGAGTTGCAGGTCATCAGGATTTGGTAAGTGTTATCGTGGTTTCTTTTCATGTCCATCATGTTGCTGTTTTTGGTGAGTGTTTGAGTGAAACATAAATTTCGAAATCGCACGACCACTCACTGACCAAACACGTCCCTTTCACTAATTTTGAGCCTAGCTCACACGACAAGGCAGCCACACGGTAGGATAAGAAACAAACAGCAGGGCAGAACAAGCCGCATTGCGCCGGGAGATGTAATGTTTGGCGTGCCCTGTTTGGCAATCCTCTTTAGAAATTGGCCTCTTCCATTCTGCTCTTGCGCTTCGCCACTACTTGAAGCTGAAAACCCTCAATCTCTGGATGCCTACAAAGAGAGCCAAGTATGACAAACCATGACAAACCATAGACTCATAGACTGAATAGATCCTCAAAAACCAACCATCTGGTGGGAACCATAGACCGTCGAGAGTCATCGGGTCTCGAGACCATCGGGTCGAAACCGATGGTCGCGCTCGGCTTGGCTGCGACCGAGAGGCAAGGCGGCCAAGTTCGTCTCGAGCGTCTGGACCAATTCCTGGCCAGGGACCACCAACTCCTGCCTCTCTACTAGGGGCAGAAGCTACTAAGGGCTCCTGGCCTTAGTAGCTGAAAGCAAGAAGCAGGGTGGAGGCCATCGCAAATAGAAGTTTATATACATGATTTTGCTTCGCCCCCCCCCAACCCCCCACACTCTCCAGCTTAAAGGAAAAAGAGACGAAAACGTAAACGCGCCGGACCCAACCTTCACTTCGGCTAGCTTGGTGTTGGCCGCGTTCAGGGTCTCTGTGGCTTCGCGCAAGGCATTTCGCTTGGGTTCCACCTGCACCACCACGTCGTAGTACATGATGATGTTGATGATCCACACCTCAACGGTGGTTGGCAAATTTTGGTGGGCCAGTCTGATTTAGACAAAACATGACAACACCAAACAACAAAGGGTGGTAATGGGTGGTTTGTCGGTTGCCCTTTCCCAAAGGAAAGACTACTCTTTGTGAATGATCGACCACTTGTCGTGTCTTTGATTACGAACACAAATTACATCAAACAATGCCTGTTGAGGAAAACAATCAGAGCTCGTGGTTGTAGTCATTTGGAAGTCATGACAAACACCACATTGGCTCACAAAGCATAAACAGCATAAACCACTTACCATTTTCAGATGTCTTCAGTATGTCATTCCGTGAAAATCACGCACCTCACAGTGCTGCAGAATCATATGCACATCGTGCATCATCGTGGCACCGTCCCCAAGCTACAAGCAAGCTGCACAAAGACCGGCGGCCGCGGAGGACTTCTTGGACATGCCTGCTTGGCTAAAGTCGTCACCCATGGCAGTCTGGATCTTTCCTGAGGAGAGAAGCGCAGGAGAGAAGCGCAGGCCTGCGCGCAGGCCTGCCCCATGTGAAGGCGGGACGGAGGACAGCAAGCGAAGTGGACAGTTCGTTGATGGACACCCATGTGAAGTGGGGGCTACGGCAATAGCTTTTCCACTATATACAAGTACTAAGTTGCAACCAGTAAACCCGGAAACCGGAAACCAACTGACCAGAATGCAACAACAGCCCCATCAACATCGATCAACTGATCTTCGTAACTGGCGGTTGTAAGAGAGATGTCTTTTTCCTCTGGCAGGTACCAGTTTAGGTAGTCTGGTGATCCTGGGTGATAGAGTATAAACAAGGTATATAAGTAAAATCAAGCCACAGTTTTGTTTAATCGACTCACCGGGGAAAAAAACAAACACAACTGCAGGTGCTCATCTGCCCCTTACTAGAGGCCCTTTTGTTTCGATCTGTTCTCTTCTTAAAAATCACATGACACAGTATGTGAAATGACATGTTTGGACCAAAGCGTCAATCGTTTTGCCCAACGCCAACACCTGCGACGAGCATGTCAACCTGCTGTTCATATCTTTTCATGGTCTGAGTAATGATGTCTACTACAATGATCAAGTGATGAGTCAAAAGCTGGGACCCTGGTCCACCAGGACCAGCGAACGACCTTCCGTCAACCGGTCGGTATCCTGGTGATGACCCACAGCCAAACACCTGCCAGCTTCAGCTCGTGAAAGGAACTCTCAGCATGGAAATGGGTTTCCCCATGCTGAACAGCTATTGAATCATTGAACACACCGTCTGTTTCACCGCCGAAACCTCGCAGGTCGGTGCTAAAAAAACCTAAGCTGAAGAGGCCACCGAGGGCGAGTCGAGGTCAGTGTATCAGACACATGTGGAGCACCAAAAACCATCAAAAACCAATCTGCTTGGCCATTAATTTTTATATATGTCAGACATGGTCAAACACTGTCAGACATCGCTGGAAGTGTCCTTCATGTGGTGAATTTGTCTGTAAACGGTAAACTCGCTTGCGGAAAGTTGCTGAAAGCGGGGGGGTCTGGACTCACTGAGGTCCACGGGTCATAACCCACAACATCCCTCGACCAGCGCTCTCCGCTCTCGGCACGCGTTGCGCGCTCCGCCCGTCTCTGGCAGAGCGACGGGCTTTCTCCACGTTCGCCTGGGGCACCTTTCCGTCGTCAATGAAGCTCTTGAAACCTGGGTGCAAGAGTGGTGTGCACCCGCACCGGGCACCGCATGAAGCAAGCCTGTAACTGTACAAACCTGTCCAAGAGCTGCATAGAGCTGCCCTGTCTTAAACATGCTTAAACTCTGAGAAGATCTTGGAAAGGTGAAAGAATCTGAACGATAAGAACATGATGGAACCTGGATAAAGCCAGTACACCAAGTGTGCGCTACTGCTTTCAGAAGTCCCCTTACGTGCAGACATGAGACAGTAGGGGACGTGCGAGTCTGACGCAAATCGATCGAATCGACATCCCATCTGGTCCCATGTGTGAACTACAAGTTGCCCTTCAAGTTCTGCAGGAACTTCTCAGGGTTGTTCATCATCTTCTGAGCGCCCTTCCAGCTGCCATCCTGGCACTCAGGAACGTTGCTAACTCACTGGTCGCAGCAAGAAAAGGTTGGCTGCGACGTGGCTGGGCGGGTTGGCTGCGGTTGCCACCATGTTGCTACCCTTCAACTTGGCTGTCGGTGCAAACGAAAACGATACAATAGATGAAGGTCCGGCTCAAGACATACTTGTACTCCACACGTCTAGATCGAATCCATTCATGAAACCTCCTAGATCATTATACATACTACATCCATAATTACGATCTCAGGCAGCTTTGCTTTTAGGCTCAGTATCCATCATGAAACCTCCAACCACTACAGGTGGATGAAGAACCGCTCAGCTCGGGTTTTTTCGCGTCCTTGACGCCCCCCCTTCTTGTCCAGCTCGATGTTCTCATCATAGCCTGCCTGGGCCACGACCAGATTCTGGGCCCCACTTTGTGAAGCGAACATGTTGCGTTGTTGACATGTTGTGAAGCGATATATATATATATATAGTGGAGTCGACTTCAGGTTGAAGGAAAGCAGGTTGAGGTTGCGGGTTGAGTTGATCTTGGGTCGGACAACCCATCAAAGATAAGTCTTCCACATGGAATGCCTTTGGCAAGTACTGAAATGGCCATCTTTGTCTGGGAATCCCTTTGCTGTAGATGCCTTTAAAAGTTTGTTGTGGCATGCGCTGCAATCCAACTTGCCGATTCCACCAAAAGCATCACCCTGACACGAATTCCTTCGATCGACCGCCTGACGAGCGCAGGTGGGCGCACGCCAGCGACACCCGCGCCTGCAGGTGCATGGCAGCCTCCAAGACCAAGTCCACTCCACCTGGTGGCTTCGCCAAGGCCTTCAACTCTTGGAAGTCCTCGCAGCGCCAAGGCACCGCGGCGGCCAACATTTGTGCGCTTTTTCTTGTTTCTAAGCTCCCAGGCATTGATAGTTTCTGTCCATGCATGGTATTTCTGCATTGGGTTTTGTATACTTCTGTGAACATACTTGAGTAGAATCAAGTGAAGTGTTTGGTAGCTTTTGCAGATGAAATAGTCTTCCAAGGAGCCCACCTAATTCATTGGGGGGTGTCCAGGTGATGTCGGGGCTCACAAAGGTTTGAGCGAACAGCAAGGTGGTGTTCTGCAAAAGTTGCAACACAAGTGCTCTACCAACTGCTTCCAGGAAGCTGCTTCCTTCCTGTTTCCCGGATCCCTTCTCATCTCGGAAGGTCTGAACCACACCCTGATGAAGTGACTCGAGCCATACGACAGAGTGACAACCGAGCTACACCGACCCGGAACGACTCGAGCCGACAGAGTAGCAACCCTTCCGTGCCTTCTTGTCCAGCACATCCAGGGCTTTCTGCGCGAGGCGTTTCGCGTGGCGCAGTTCAAGCGGGTTTCATGCGGGACACGTGGGGGTTCCCGCCGTGTCAAATGCGAGCGTTGCGTGGGCAATATCCCTCGTTCTGCGTTGCGTCGTGTGGCTTTGGTGAGTTCTTTCAGGAAAGGAATGGCAAGGGTCATGTGGCCATGACAGCGTGAGGCAGCAATGGCTGGCACCCCCAAATTGCTCCGATGGATGTCAGTGCTCGTCTGCTCAATAAAGCAACAAATCGAAGCTTGCAAGACCAGGTCGTTGATCTAGGTGCACGAGCTTTCGATCTCCAAAAACGAAGCCTCTACACTTCTCCAGGCTTCGTCAAAAGAGGCTTTGTGAGGGGTGAAAATAGGACACGGGAGTTGTTGAACCTTGTTCGCTTTGTCTGAAAAGAAACACATAGCAGCACCCTCCAAAAGGTCACCAATTGATACCTGTTGAGGCCCAACAACCCTTTAGATCTTTTAGACCTGTTTGGAGGGTGCTGGTATCGGATCTTCATGAATGAAGCTGCACAAGCATTGGGTTCAAGCCAAGATATGTGTCTTGATGCGGGAATATCATACCGAATCATACCGATCTATGTGTTTGTTCAAGGGGGGTAGTTACTGTATACACTGGCGGCATACCATCAAACAAAACAGTCTGAGGACTATCCTGGTGCTGTCGTCCATCCTCATAGAAGAACATCACATCATGCACCAGGCCATTCGTGCTTGTTTCGCTTGGATGTGGTGATCAAGGAACTTGGAACCAAATGGAAACTGCTCGCAGAGTGCCAACCTCAGAAGCTTGCCAATAGGATCCAACGAAGAAACATCAGCACAACACCTTTATCAAATCTATGTCAGCAAAACCTCTGCGCCCTGCTAATTAGTAGTGCGGGATGGTCCAGCTGCTTTTAGTAAGACCAGGCCGACCAGGCCTCGGCTTGCTCCACCAGAGGGATGGCTGCGGCCAAATCCTTCTCACAATCTGCCTGCTGAATGGAGACCTCAGGTGACAAACCGCGCGCATCGTCCATCGTCGTCCTTGCCAAAGCTCAGTGGTTTTCTAGGGTTTTTTTCTCCATCTGCGCAACAAGGATGGTACGTGCCTTGAAGGACGGCACTGTTATCAGTTGAAGGAAACACCGCTCCCTCTCAACGGAGTTGGCACCGCCCCAGAGAAGCCCTACGACCCTGCAACACGACTCAGGAACCAATTATATACTCTACATGTACAGCACAAAGAAGGGTGTGAATTGTTTAAACTCACAAACCACCCCCCAGGCACCACCTCTCTCCCCTCCAAAAAGCGCCATCCAAGAAGCATCCTTGGCAATCTTCGCGCACTTTTCGGCTTCAACGGCCGCCTCAGGGGGGGCCCTATTTGCAGGGTGGTTCCTTCATCTCCCAACAGATTCCCCCGCACTCCGAACGCTTCCCCCCCCTTGGTACACAAAATGAACGACTCGTCCATACTGCTCCCTATCCCGTGGTTCAACAGTCTAATTGCCTTCCCCCAGCCGCCCAACGCGGAAAAAACAAAGCACGCCTTGGCGCTTTCCTCCTGCACCGTGGCCTTCTTTTCGCCGACCTCTGTGGCGAAGACATCCGCCGCGGCGGCCTCTGTTTCAGCAGGTGGCGAGCAGCGGGCGAGGTGGCAGAATACGCAGAGAACGCACATTACATGATTGCATGGCGTTTTGGACGCACACTCCGGAAACATACAGTATACCAACTCGTCATGCGCATTACTATATATTAGATTGCACCAGAAATCAGCAAAAAGGGTATATAATTCTACTGATAATACCTAGCACACAAAACCACTGGTTGAGCAAATTCAGTAGAGTGCTTATTAGATTGATCTTATTGGGCAATGCTGTTTTGAGCTCGTGCGGTGCGCAAGTGTGCTGACCAGGTTCCAGTGCGTGCGCATGTTGTCTCCTGAAAGGTGTTCCAACTCATCAGTGCAGTAAACGCGCCACCCTTTCTCTCGTTGATGAAGCGATTTTGGCCGTCTTCATATGATGGGATTGTATTTTAATAGGGAGACCCCCAAAAGACCTCTGGAACAAATCAAAAACAGGCTAAATCCATTGGTTGGTAGGTTCTCCAATAAAATACACACCGCATCCAATATGTGAGTTTGTCGTTCTGGATCGCATTCTGATTTCTGATTGAAACATGTGCCATGGGAGTCCGTCACGGCGGCCGTCGGGCCCCGGCGATGATAGTCCGATGAGAAAGGAGGAGTGACGCACATTTTTCAAGGTCTACATATTATATACACATGACAGTTCTGAAAAAACTCCAATCTGAGTGCCACATGGCGCCAAATCAACTCTGCATCGTCACTGTAAGTCTTAGCCCTCGAACACGACCCGAGTTTTGGGACGTCCTGACCATGCGAATCTACCCTAACCCCGGTCGGGGGGGGCGCCGACCCAATTCGGCCAGACGTTGCACGTTTCCGCTTTTTTCCTCTCTCCGCGCACCTTCTCGGCGACCACCACGGCCTTCTCCTTCAGCTCTTCTTCCAGACCGGCCACCTCTGCCAAACGAATGGAAAAAAAACATCGTGATGCATTTCGTTTTTGCCCTGAGCTCTGAAGCGAAGGACTCTCCTCTTTGTAGAGATGCTGCTATGGTATACCCTGCTGCAACCAAGGGCTCTCCAGGAACGAAAACAACAAATTCATATTCTCCTCTTCTACCAAGAATACCAAATTGGTTGAATCGGAAACGCCCAAATTGCTTGGCTCACACCCACCATTGCTTGCTTGACTCACACTCTCTTCCGGGTGCGGGGCCCCCCCGCCTGCTCGGAGGTCGCACGAAGCTTCTCCAGTCCGCTGGTGAGGCGATCCTTCTGGTCCTCCAGTGCATCGACCTGCACTGCGCTCGTCAAGTGGAGCAACAAAGCTCAGTGGTTAAAGGTGGTCCCCCATGGATGTAAACTCCCGAAATCTCACATAGACCCTGACCCCCCTGGAAAAGGGTTTTAACTCTACCAACCAGTGCTTTTCAGGATCCATGGGATCGTCTACCAGGGTGTATACGCATGCCTTTCGGACATAGGAGCTTTCAGTCCATCTAAGGGCACAGGGCTAGGGCTATGATTCAGATGTAAAGCCTCAGTATGCCGGCAGACCACGTGGGTGTGTATGAAAATAGGGAGAGGTTCCGACCCTTTGGGCTCGGTGAAGGACAATAGACTGGTTCACCCATTTGTGGGTGCTTTCCCTATGAAACCTACAAAATCCTACAAAGCCATATCAGCCTGTTCGTTCATCTGGAAATAGAGAGGTGAACTCAGGTTGTTGGATTTGAGTGGGGTGTCCCCAATGTCCCAAAAAGGTTAAAGATGGTTAAAGGTTCGCCACTGACTGTTTGGTGGTGACACCATTGATTGTTTTGGGAAGGGGTCATTGCAGCTTAACAAAGAGAAGGCGGACCCCCAAAACAACAATGCTTGGATGCCAGGATTACCTGGCAATGCCAGGAAGTGGCCAAAATACTTGAGACCAAAGTGGGAGCCGACATAAGCTCTCAGTGAAAACAAGACTAAGACTGCCAAAGCTTCAAACTTGTCAATCAAGGGGCAACAAATATGAACTGGATGTTCAATATTAACCCTCTCCTGGCAAATTGTATGATGTGCTGTTATTGTGTTCTGGAAACCATCTCCAGCGCACTTGAAAAATAGAAAAGCCGAATAGCGCACTCTAGGTTTTGCATTAGTCATCAGTGCCTGGAGATGCTTTGAGCTCTTTGCATCCATATCATTGACTCTAGTAACCACAAAAAACAATAAACGGCCAAGCGAATCACTCATTTCACTGTCCCCAAGCCAACCAAAGGCAAACCCCGAGAACCTCTTAGCCCAAATCTGCATGAACCGCCACCTTTCTACAAACGTGCCTTCTGGCCCACCATGCTGGTGTACAGCTTGATGAGCTCTAGGAAACTCTTTGGTGTCGTGTAGGCAAAGCGCCTCACATCGAGTTTCCTTGTCTTTAGCATTTTTGTTCTAGCGTCCTTGCTCCTAGTAGTAAGGCCAGGAGACCCTAGTAGGTATGCCAGCCAAACACCTATTTCAGTCAGTATGGCATGGTATAAACTGAGTTCCCGCTGAAGCGCCTCTGCACCGTCATGAAATTCTGTGCCACTTGTCCTGGTGACTCTTCGGTCGAAGTTTTGGGTGGCGATGGATCAGTTTGTTGGGCACCATGAAACAAGTCCCAGTCCCCTTTTTCTGCGATGGTAGGTCACTTCTTTTATGTCTCTCGGACTGCAAGCCGCCATGGTCATGAAAAGAGTTGTTTAACACAACAACACATATTTTAATGTACTTTACTGCAACGACCAACTTCGCACAAGTTAGGCGGCCCCCGCTGTGGCGGGGTGCACCAAGGCTGAAGCAGTGCCATCTGCTCACCTGATGCTGCCTCTGCCTCTACCTCTGCCATCTGTCTCTCCGTGTACTCTCTCAGCGCCTTCAGAAACCTCCGCCGCGTGCCATGTACGTTCGCGGCACTCGTTGCTCCGCTCCTGCAGCTTCGAAGCTGAAGGGCAAGAAGTCCATGATGCCATTTCGCACGGGACTGTCCTGCCCAGCTGCAAACACCACTTGCCCAGCAATCCGTACTCCCACGCCCTTGCGCCCACCTATGTTTACATAGTTTTATATACATGCCATGCAAGTTACACCCAAGTTGGGTGGTCCTGGGGTCCCAACTGCTCGATGGGTTCCAAGAACTTGGCGCCCACGTTGTACAAAGCATCCATGGGCCACGGCTGGAACCAATCGATGACGGTACCTTGGTGGCTTACCCTCAGAACCCCCCCCAGTGCATCCGTTCCTTAAAAGAGCCAAGAAGAAACACAATGGATCTGAACCACCAGCAACATGGTGTGGGGTGTGAGGGAGGTGATGGCTGGAAACCATTTAGTTGGAAAAAAAACATGTCGTGACAAAAAAAACAACTATAGGAAACTTCATTGGGTTGAGGAACCCAGCAGCCAGCAATACCCTAACAAAAGAGATAAATACCTAATACCTGCCATCTCTTTCTCCGTCTCCATCCCGCTTCTGTCAGCTTCTGGTCAGCGATGGAAGCCCCCACACTTAATTACTAAGCACTTATGTTTAGAATTGTGGAAGTCTCAGCTTCCATGATTCTTAAGAGAGCTGAGCAGGCATTATATAAGTCCATGGAAGTCCGAAGAATCATGGCTGCCGGCCAAATCCCAAACATCCCCTCATTGGACTTCAACCAGCCCGCAAAACATCCGCATTTGCCATTGCTGGCGCCCAGGCACAATTCACCAGCGCTGGGAACTTCCTCGCACGGTTCCGCATGGCGTCACCCACCGGGGAGAAGCAAAGGGACATGTGGAGGTTCTTGCCTGGCAGTCGAGAGAGTCCATGCAGCAAAGAGAGAGAGAGAGAGGTGTGAGGCCACACATGGACACGGCATAGGAAAAACATCTTTCTTCAAGGAAGGTCACCACTAAGCAGCGGCTTCACCCAAGGTAGGGTGAGAGGAACTAATGTCTTGGGGTTTTCAGACCGGGGCCACACAGTAGTTAATGACTGTACAGTGATCAATGTTGTCTCCTTCTAAGTTTCTTTAGATGGAGTGCCCGCCCTTTTAAGTGTTAAGCTTGGCTTGTCCTCGGACCTGCCTCACCTGCCTCCCCTGTGTGCTCCAGGTCTGAAACCGGTCCGCTTCGATGCTTCGATCGTGGTCCGCGTCGTCGTCTGGTGAGCCATCAAAGCGTGTCGAAAAAGGGTTTGGGAAGCGAAAGCTACTACCTCCACCCTTCAATCTGCATGTGATCTTTAGGTGTCTTCTGAAGTGGGATCTTGTGGGTTGCAATTTGGATATGGCCGTAATGCTATGTCTTTTTGGTCACTGAGGAGGCAAAACCACGTACAAGCGCGTTCGTGGGAGAAAGCTGTTGCTGACACGTCCACGGTGTGGGTCCCACCATCTAGCTTTCGTCTGACCAGTCTGATCCCGCCCGTCCCGGGAAGTTGCAACCATGCGGCGAATGCGAGAAATGAAGAAGCTCCAAAGATTCTCAGGGGTATCCTGCAAAAGATGCACAACTCAAAGCGCACAAGGATAAAAAACATTCTCACCGAGAGTTGCCAAGAGTCCAAGACAAACACCATGTAATATATATATATATACCTATCTTTTCTTGATACTGAGGAAGCATTTTCCGACCTCACCGTTTTTGGAACACAGGCTGGACAACCTGTGGGACTTCATCGAATGTACATCATCTAAATGCATCCAGGGATCCCTGTTTTGACACACTTGCTATGTTCATGCGAAGAGTCTCTGTTGTTTCCTTGTGAAATCCAGCAATAAAACATCTGGTTGAGGGTTGAGGGCGCAACCTCAATGGCACAATATCTTGGCTTGATCCCAGGACTTCTCAAGTAACTTCTCTTTGTTTTTCCTGCCCAAAATGGTTTCTCTCCCTTCGCATCCTCTCCCCCTCCACCAATGTCTCCGTCCTGAATGCCGGCACCCTTGCATCCGCTGCGCACGCCATTGCGGATCGCGTCCTTCTCATCGGAGGCGTAGAGGTCGGCAATATCACCTGATCGGGTCGGTTGGTTGGTCTCAGCTGGGCGGCGATGGGTGTTTTTCTCGTTGTTTTCGTTTGTAATTACACAACATGCTGTGGATACGACTGCAAAAGAAGGACTCATAGTACACATCTTATGTTCCATGATAGGACATGGCACTGGAATGGGTGATTCGATACATGTCTAGATTTCATGGGACTCAGACATGTCGACAGGACTGGCTGTGGGTCGGCTGACGGGGAGCTCCAAACCCCTGAAGGTTGGCCTCCGAAAGAAAGGTCGGTCGTCCATTCTCTTCATGTCCGGTCGCCCGTGGTCGGTCTCCCCGGGGACGGCCTGAGGCCAAGAGATCGTTGATGAAGACCAAGAACTTCTCGTTGGTGATCTGTCCATCTGTGAAGAGGAACAAGACGCCTTCATCCTTCACGCCAGCCCTCATGTACATGGCCTGCAAGTCACCCTTCAGGTCATTCATGCCGTAATTGCCACCTGAAGGGGGGGTATCACACGCAGTCTCGACCAACGACACATAGAATGCCTCTTGGACCGTGAAACAGCCGAAAACCCTTTGAATTCGGAAGTGTGGAGGGCGAGACGTGTGGCGCCACTGCTTCGTCGCCCTGACAGAACAGAGATGTGCTCGGTGAAAGAACAAGGTGTCTTCACTTCGATATGCACATGGATGATCTAATCCCGTGCTCCTATGGAGCACTTTACAAGCCTCTCAAACACTGGACGGGCAACAAATCGACCGGCCATTTTGTCAGAAGCGAAGCCGGCTATCATGGGGTCATGATAGCGGAGGAATTCCTCGACCAATCCCAGTGAACTACCATTTAAGGAAGGGGGACCTATACATCCTATAATGTCCACCTCTAAACAATAAACCCCCCCCCCCTCCCCCCTTGATCAAGTGTGGGCCCCAAATAATGTGAAATCCAGAAAAATCCTAGAAAATTTTGATTTGAATTGGAAATGAAAGGAAAGGAAAGGAGATTGAAGGAAAGGAAAAGAAATGAAAGGAAAGGAAAGGAAATTGAAAGGACAATGAAAGGAAAGGACAGGAAATTGAAAGGACAATGAAAGGAAAGGAAAGGAAATTGAAAGGACAATGAAAGGAAAGGAAAGGAAATCACGAAAAGAACCAGCCAGGGATTGTTTAGTATTATTTGAGGCCCGGAGTAATTGAAGGTTTGGGCTGCTCGTGGGGGGTGGTCTTTGTGGGTTGATTTCAGGTTGCAAATTGCAATGCCCAAATAAGTAATTTCAAAAGAAACATGCAGCAGCCAAATCACACATCCAGAAAGTATTGCCTTCAATAAAGCTCAAGCTGTTCAACCAAAAGGAAATCTAAATAAAGGAATTGTAAAGGAAACCGCCAAAAGAACCAGCCAG